TGGCTTTGTAGATAAATATTATAAATAATTTGTTAATAATTATCATGTGGAAGGTGGAAAAATATTCATTAATGTATTTGTTAATATTTTAATATTTTAATTGTTAAGAGCGATCCACTGTACCTTTCATCCATGTGAAATAATCTAGTACTTTTACCAACAAATAAATCTTCAGACTGGTAATTCTGGTACTGGTCACAATGTCTGATACCAGTGTGTGAGCTTCCTCAAAAAAAAAAAAAAAAAGCAGTCTGCAAGTGGGTCTTACTTGAGGGACATCTTGCGTGCGCCAAGGTTATAGTAGATGGTGCTGAGTTTGTAGAAAGCCTGGGTATTGTCATTCTTTAACTTGGATGCAGCTTTAAGGTCGCTGATGGCCTTCCCCATCTCTCCCATTTGGATAAAACACTCAGCTCGCATCTCACGAGAAGTCACATCCCAAACGCAGGTCTGTCACAAGTGGACAGTAACACTTACAAACTGCTGCTTGGTGCAGCAATGATAACATGGACAATGTCTTGCTTGCAGGAAAATTAGGCAATGCTGACAAGGTAGGTCTCTTACCTCAATGATAGTATCAAGCTGGGCAGCAGCTGTCATATAATCCTGGCTGCTGAAGCTGCTGCGTGCCTGAGCCACCAGCCGCTGAATTTCATCTGACTTTGTCAGCTGACTCTGGGCTTCTCTCTCTTCTTTGTCACTGGGGTTGGACTTCATCTGGAGGATTGCAAAGCAAGACATTATATCAAGTACTTATTGTCATGATTAAAGAAGTCTAGAGTGACACAACAAAACTGAAGCGTGGACAGAGTGTGAAATATGATATGTAGATGGTATAAGCATGATCTGTGTGTTTAAGAAAATTTTATTCTGTCAGTCACCAGTGTGTTCCAATATGAGCTCTTACTTTTGTGGTGAGATTCTAGCGCTAACTTTGCCTCCTGAAAGCACCATGTACCATAGCAGTACTTACCATTCCCTACATACACTACATTATAATCATCCTCATCATGGAGGTCATCATATTCATAAGAGCAACCTCAGCTAATGACCCAACCTTTACAAACAGACCTGGCTACCTTTTAAGTGTTTCCTGCTAGCTCAGCTTAGGGAGGAGTGTAATGCATAAATGTGATGCATTACACTGGGCCAATGTTGTGGACCGCTGAAGCAGCAGGACAGCATGCACCTCTGGCCAGATACCTTGACATTATACCAGCAGGATATTGTCTGTATGTAAAACTGTATAAGCTCAGATGCCTATAGGCCTCTGCTGGGACTCTGCTGGTAACTCATTGCTCTCCTGAAGCAGAAGCCACATCGCAGCTGACTTTAGACCTATATTTATCACAGACTCTAGCCGTCTGTAACACACAGCATTCCTTTGAACTAGGTTCCACATTACAGCCTGCCAAACAGGAATATAGGACTAACCACTGAGATTCAACCTACATATAAGAAATTTAATCAAACATTGACTGGTTTTCTGTTTGTTCGATAAAAAGGGAATGAAAAGGCATCGAGCTAATGATCAAAACGGGCCTGTGGGAGGGGGAGGGAGCAGCAGGTCAACCACACGCCCTTGGCACAATGTGACATTATCTGAAAGAGGAGGAACTTAATTTCCCCCTGAATGATAACCTCACCTGAGAATACTGCAGCTGTAAATGGAATCTAAGAATTAATAGTAGATATAACAAGGGCATTTATGTCCTGTGGGAGTGTTGTGAAACTTCAGTCTAATTTGGTAATTCTAATGGAAAATGCATTAGCGATTTCCAGTCTTAATCCTTAACAAGCACCTATAAATGATCCCAGAGGGTCCAAATGAGAGCTCAATGCCAATTTAATTATCATCTACATTTTGTAAGATGGCTTATGGATGCAGGGTGCGTCAGCTTCACATGATATTATGTGGTCTTTGTCTATCACTTAACCTTCTTGCTACTTGGTTTCAAAGAGTTCTGTTAAATCCAATCAGTCCAGAATAACATTTCTCACATTGTCAGCTTTATAGTATATCTGTACAGTGTTCTGAAATCAATCAAGTGTGCACAGTAATAGAAAAACAAATAATATTCATAACAAACATGCAGTTAATAAATCTAATGACTCTCCTTACTTAAAATCATAACAAAACCACATTAAGCTTCGTTCTTATGCGTAAGTGTAGCTTCACTACAACACCAGGCTACTGATCAACACTGACACCTCCTGGTGAACTCTGCTTATCTGACAAAAATAATGACTAATACTCAATCTTGCTGCTGTAGACTTTAAACTGGATATTACTCTGCTACACTTACCACCTTCTTGAAGTCACTCTCTGCTTCATCGAGTCTTCCCTGCTTCAGAAGGAGATTTCCCCTCTGAAGCCGTGCCTGTTAAGAGCGAGAGAGGGAATTTGTTGGGCATAAGACTGCAATCACACACTTATCAACACAGCTGACAAAACTGACCGGTTTCCCAGCATAGTTGTGCCTGGAGCTAATACGACTTACAAAATATGTATGCACATAATATATATGCACATATGTAGCAGCTAACTCCTATTAAGTGTGTAGATTCTGTCAGACCTACAATGTATATTTGTGGTGCTGGTAAAGTATGACATGAGTGTGTGCAAAAGATTTAAGACCAACTGATGTAAAAACAAAAACTCACAGATGTGAAGTCTGGTTTGAGCTCAATGACCCTGCTCAAATCTGGCAGTGCAGACTTTGATTTCCCCATTGCTAGAAACACTGTAGCTCTCCTGTAGTAGGCCATGTAGTTCTTGGGATCTCCGTCTGATAAAAGAACATGCAAACATGGCTGCAAAAGTTTTGGACTGTGTTTCCTACCATAACAAGCCAAAAGTTAAACTTAAAAAAAAACTCAGCATGTTAATGACACTCACCTACGGCAGCATGGAAATGAGAGAGGGCATCGGCTAGCTGGCCAGCAGCGAGCAGCTTCTTCCCCATCTCCATATGATTGTCCACACTCCCATCCCTACCGCATTTCACTCCTGAAACATATTCACTATACTGAGTATATTTCCACACACTACTACTGTACAATACTCCGTTCTGTGATGCATTAGCAAAGAAGCGGTTTGGCTAGTTTTTATTCACCTATAGGCTAACACAAACTCAATACTTTTACTAATAAGTCAATAGCGGTTAGCTAGCTTAACGTTAGCCAGCATTGTTGTGGATTTGGCTTGGTAATGTTGACACTGACATTAGCGATGTTAACCCTACCTAGACTAAAAGCAGGCTGTCTGAACCATGGCCAAAGTTCTGGTAACGTTAAGTTCGTAGCTATCGTTAGCTTGCCTAGTAAAGTAAAGTAGAAGTTAGTCAGCTTCTTACCTTCATATCTCATGTCCATCAAAACAAGAACATATGGGATGTAAGTCAGTATTTTGTGAGCAACATGGTCAATGGAAACCATGGTTAAATTTGTGTCTGACACGTCCTCTTTCTCGTTAGGTCCCACAAACTTCAGCTGATGTTATTTTAACTAATGTTTCGCTTAATTCTGGTCAGTCCCATGAGTTGAGCGTTGTTCAGCATATTGCTTCTCTCTCCCCAGTCACAGCAGAGCAGAAACACGCAACCGACAGGTCGTGGGTGACTGTGATTGGCTGGATGGTTTGCAAAACCACGCCCACCTCAGTTGGTTCAACAGAGAGGAGCCACGGCAGCACAAGGTACGTGTGTGTGTGTGTGTGTGTGTGTGTGTGTGTGCGTGCGTGCGTGCGTGCGTGTGTGTGTGCGCGCGTCTCTGTCATTGGCAACTAATTAATTGGGGACTTGTCAAATTGGAGCCAAAAGCCATGCCCCCAACTGGGAAAAAACTGATTTTATGGTCAGCATAAGGTTAGGGATAGGTTAAGGTTAAGGTTAGGGTAAGGGTCTATGGAATGCATTATGTAAGTGAATGTCCTCACAAAGATAGAAGTACACTTTATTTGCACTACAGTGTAAATATATATATATATATATCTAGAAAAAAACATGTAGCTGATAACAATATAGTGTGTGCAGTTCAAGTGGCTATTAATGTAATAGGCTAACCTAACAGTGGCAATTTAGTTCTAATGTTTTAATGTAGTTGCAAAAATTCCTCCAACATTTCTAAAAACTTGGTTGCAACTTCATGTTTCAATAAAGCTTCAGCTGCTCATTGTTTTCCATCCCATAACTTACACCCCAAGCTAGTTGTAAAAAGACAGTTGATTAATATTTGTCTTTAATATTAGTGTTTGAGTGGGAACTAGAGTTCTTTTATGTCTCCATGTGACAAATAAAATAACCTTGAACCAGAAATACTTAAACTTAATTTCCTGAATCTTTTGACTTTTTCATTTTGGGCATTGGAGTTAAAAATTTTGGGAGCCTCACAGTAATAGTACCTTTGACCTCAAAACCTTTCAACAGTCTGCAGTATCTTGTACCATTTGAGCAGTGTTTTTGTTACTTGGGGATTGAACCCCCACCCCAACCTTAAAATTTCAGAGGTCTCAGAACTCTTTGAACCATCTGGTAAGATTTTGAAGTCCAGTATCTAAAAGACACAAGATCTCCAAGAAAAGGAGCTCAAATGTCTGTATAAATATGTCATGGAGAAAGAAGACTGATCTGGTGTGTTGAGGTCTTGGGTTTGGGGCTGCGATTAATTAAGTCCAACACCCAATGTAGACATTCAAAGGTGCTAGGAAATAAAGGTCAGCTGTCTGACAACATAGGTCACAGTGTGAGAGGACTACTTGGAATATTGGATGTTATGAGTTTGATCATCATGGGATGCAATGACTTTTGAAGTCAAACATCCAAAGTGAAGACTGAAAAACTTTCAAATTCCCCAATGCAAAGGTGGTGTGTTGGGTGTGTTCACATCTGTAAGGTGCCAGTGGTGAAAACTCATGAATATTCTCATGCTCGTCCCAAACCACTCTTTCTGTTATGAATCAATATCAAAATGTAGTTTTATTACAAATTTCAAAAACATCTTACAGCTTCCAACAATGTTTGATCAAAGCATGCATTCAATCTGTGTTCTTGCATGGATAATTCTTTATATATTTCTTTACATACTCATAACATACAGTAATTTTTGCCTCAGATCAGAGCAAGAGTTAAGATCATGACATATGAAACTATGTTCAGGGAAAACTGATAGCATTCTCTTAGTCCAACTGGACATTAAATGTAAGGAGTCCACTAGGGTGACTTATTATAAATGATGCATATTGAACATTCAGTGTACCCAAAAAGAAAACCTGCACACAGATGAGAAAATAGTAATAATTATTTGCAATCTTTGATAATATGTCACACATATTCATTAGTAGCTGTCGTCTTGGTGATACTGGTGACCCCAGAGATGCTGCTGGCACTGGTGTCACTGATGTCACTGGTGTCACTGGTGTCACTGGTGTTCCTGGATTTTCTGGTCTCACTAATCTCAGAACGAGCCAGAGAAGCAAGGCTCTTTTTTGCCGGGGCAACTGCGTAGGCATCAGGGAACCGGTAGGCAGGATAGTGTTTTGAGCTGTGAGTGTCAAAATTCAAGAAATGTGTGGTTATTTTTTTCTGTAGAATAAAAGAAATACTGATGAAAAATAAAATTAAAAAAATGATCCAGTTGTTGCATTTTACCTTGAATGGCATCCTTCCCTCCCTGCAAAGATACTGTAAATAAGGCCTCCAACAACAAGTAAGGTGGAGCCTCCCCAGCCGATGAAGACACCGACGCCTATTTCAAACCTGGCAATAAATACAAGAATAATTCATCAGGCTACAGCTCTTCCCTCTTAGAATAATGTGACGAATGTTGATGTATTAATAAGGCTAGGTTGTTGTATTTATCATCCATTGTACGTACTTCTGAGCTCTGAAGTTAGGGTCTTGAAATTCTGCTCTAATTTTGTTTCCATAATAGGAGAAAGCAGTCATAGAACACATCCCTGAAACAATGCACATGTTTATTTAAAGATTAATCATAGAGTACTTTTCAATGTGACTTTCAAATAGCTCTCAGCGTAACGTCTTACCTCCGATAAGGTAGTTCATCCCTCCAGCAAAGGTTACTCTTGCATTAGCAATCTCTGATCCCCCAACCTTAGTGCACTTCATTCCCACTAAGACTAGAACTGACCCAAAGAAAGCCAAGATGATAGAGATTATGATGAGAGCTCGACACATATGAATGTCCCCTGTCCAAGAGTAGGAAAAACAATGTTCAGTACATGCCACAAAATGTAGGTAAAAGTGTTAAATTCACCATCATATATTTTACTTACAGTTCAGTGCAAGCAATGATGGAATTCCTTTGCAGTCAGATACTCCAGTTGAGTCAGATATACAATCCTTCCACAAGTTGGAGAAGTAGTTTGAAGTGGTCAGGACTATGCTGTCAACTTCGGACCAAGTCCAGATCTCCGTTGGCATCGTGGAACAGACCAGGATCCATCCAGACACACACACCACGAAGCAGCCAATCTCCATGTACATCACCACAGTCCTGTAACCCATTTCTGCCCTGAAGTTGAACCACTAGGCAGAGGGAAGACTGAGCCGAGCCGTGGCACAAAGCTCCTGATCACAAGCTGCGGGACACCTGTGTGTCTGGCGTCTGGCGCTGTCTGCCCAAAGGTCCCTCCTCAGCTGTTGCATGCAGATGGAAACACACACACACACACACACACACACACACACACACACACACACACACACACACACACACACACACACACACACACACGAGAGGGTGAACGTGGTTTGTGTACATCATCACATGTTTTGCCTTGGATTGTGTTTGCTGTGTTTCCTGAAGGTCATTTTGGTGATGTGTTTGTTGTTGGTACCCAGGAGCCTGCCAGCATGGCTTCAGTTTTTGTGTGCCAATTAGTTACTTACTAACTTCAGATGGTGTGTGTGAACCAGTGTGAACAAGGCACATCACGTTCCTGAATGGTAAAAGATTTAAAAATGGTGGCACCATTTTATTACACAGGCTGACAGGATAATGATACACTTATATTTTTGTAAAACTGAGGATATACTGGTGTAAAATAAAAAGTGTAAATAAAAAGTACTGTCATATATACACACACACACACACACACAAACACACACACATATACATAAATATATATTTATATGCATATGTATGTATATATGTATGTATGCATATATACTGTATGTATACATATATATAAATAATATATACAGTGAAGAAAATGACTGGAAAGACACAATACTCATGGTATACTCATATTCATATATTCATAGATACAAAGTTTTTTATTATTATATTATAATTCATAGATATTACAGTGATGTTCCGAGTTGTCATACATGCTTTGATTATATCACAGCAGAATTAATACATGAAGAGTAAACGAAAGTATATTTTATACACAGAATGGGCTGTTTTACAAAAACAAAACATGACAAGTGAATGAGAACAACAACAACAAAAAAATACAATTGTACATATGCTGCTCTAAAGAGAAGGCTGAGGGTATATTCATCTACAATATGAGCTAATCAGATTTTGAGCCCCTATGTATTTTTGTGCTTGCCTGTTGGTGTTAGAATAAAAGTATATGAATTTAAAAAAAGGTTTAAGATACTACACGAATGCATCTCTTTCTGAGATTTTTGTTGGTGTTGTCTGAGAGAGCTTTGAAATCTTGGAGCTGCTGGATCGACCCGAGCCTAGATAAGATCCATACTGCCAGGAGGGTTTGTAGTATCCAGCGTACGTTCGTCCTCTGGAGCGAGGGCTCATGTATGTGCCTCCTTCATAGGCATATACCACTTTACTGTAAGACCAAAAAGTAAAAACATTGACAAAATGAATAAAACAGGATGGTCTTGGTAGCCACAGAAAAAAGGGATGAAGATGGATGATCTATAATACCTTTTGGGGCAGATTACTCGGCAGACCGTCACAGAATAGAACACAGCCCCCAAGAGGATGAAAAAACATCCCACCAATCCAAGAAATATGGGAGGGCCTAGGTCATACCTGGAATAGTTTAATTGTATAAAATGAAACACAATTTAAATACTGTATACACACAACATTGTGTGGACATTTTAAACTAAATGATATAAAGTATTGTACAAAAGTGTAAAAAAAAAAAAATAAAAAAAAAACTGTACCGTAGGACTCCTGGCCCTACACTGGCAGCAAAGGTTGTTCTGGCGATCCTGTTGATGTATAAGCAGTAGGCAGAAATATCTGACACACCTGTGTGCAGAGGTTTCGTTGATACCAAGAAATAATGAGGGCAAAACACTGTCTGTCATTTACAGAGAAAAACACATGTATGTATGTGCTGTACTCACCACCAGCAACATGAAACACTACTCCGGCAAAAAGCATTTTGTCCTTGGTTTTATCAGCTCCACCAATATAAGTGCACTCCATCCCAAGAAAGCAAAGTACTACACCGAAGAATCCCAGAGTTAACCCGCACATTAGTAATCCTCGCACTCCCTGGATGAAAGCTGAGAGAAATGGGAACAGTTCAGGTTTGACAAAATGAGAAAAGGTTTAAAAGAAAAGGTTCAGTTGCTAGGATAGTGTTCAGTTTCTCTCAGACTGAAAAGAGGATGGTGTGAGAATAAAATCAGATCATAAGCTCTTTAAAAGATGTTGAAGTGCTCTTATATTAGCTACATGGACTGAATAGAGTCACATAGACACCTGTACAATAAACAGTCATTTTAAACAGGTGGGCAATGAATACCAACTTTACAAAGCGTGTAATGGTTTTCTCGGAGGAGTTTTAAGAGAACTATTACTGTTAAGATTTTGATTGGTGTAAACTCAATGTCACACAAAGCATGTTGGTAAGTAAAACCTTAACATTCAAAGTGAGGTTATGGAGTATGAATGAAAATATTTCCTCTTGAAAGGTGAATTAAAATGGCCAATAAATTCTCATGAAACTGACATGTTGAATTACAACAATCCTCTCTGTAGAATGCAAGCCACAGGATAATGTTAGATGCTACAATGGAGGGTGACAGTAACACATTTAGAGAGGAATCATAAAGTCAGCTAACTGATCTACTAATGTTATTTACATGGCAAAATCTTCCTAAAATTAACTAGCATTAGAAACCAAAAGTTACTGGTCATACCAGACCAAGTGAGCCTGTAGTGACAAAACCCCTGAGTTTATTGGAATCAACAAGGACGTATCGCTTAAGAATTAAACTTTTCATTCTAAGACCAGGTTTATGTATTTTATCCTTTCAATAGTGACAGTCTCACTTCAAGTGCTTGTGTAATCCTGCTGTCACTGTGAACATCTATCCATGGTTGTGCCATTCTGTACCTGCTGATCTACAGGATTGCAAATTTTTCTATTCATTCAGAGTGAAAGACTAACTATTAGAAACATGTTTTTTTGCACTTACGGGTGACAGTCCAGAGCACTGGGAAGTCTCTGCAATTGGTGACAGCTGTAGAATCAGAGAAGCAATCCTTCCACAGGTTGGACCAGTACCAGGCCACTCTAATGATGAAGGAGCCTCCTTGTCCTCCTAACTGGGTGATCCTCCAGTAGTCCATGGCCATGGTGCACAGCACAAACGTCCATCCCAGTGATGAGACCAAGAAGCCCAATATTTGCAGGAGACGTTTATCCATGTCTGAAGTTGAACCAGGTGGTGTCCACTGAGTTCAAAGCTCAAACAGCAGCGCAACTCACAAGGACAGGACACACAGGAGACACTTTTTTTTTATTTCAATCTGTGAACCAGGCAGCATAGGCTATGACAGTGTGTGCTGTGTGCCATTAGTGTTGATGAGGGCTCTGCACCATTGTGTCATGTGTTTACTGTAAGCTCTCTGGAGTGTGCCGCCTGCTTCAGGTATTTCACACCACTTCTAGCTACAGGTTCATGTGCGTTTTGCATCCTAGTATGTAGCAACAACACATTTCAACATGCACTTACAATAAAACAGCATAGACGTGCAACCAAATGTTTACCCTTACATATTAAAGTCCCACAGAGACTCAACTCTACACTGATCATCTTCAGAGAACATATTGTTACAAAGACTGCAGACTGCTGACCTCTGCAGACCGGAGCAGGTATGACATCATCAGATGACAAAACAACGCAAGACACAAAATTGGATGTGCTGTGACTCAGACTCATCTAATCTGTTTTATTTCTATTCATACTCTTATCATCATTCACTACACATTTACATAATTACAGAAACAATGACAAGATGCAGTCTGTTTTTTTTTTTGTTTTTTTTTTACTTTCTTAAACTTCCAATTATTACAAAATCATAGTTAATGGTTACGCCATGTTAAACAAAAAATCAGTGCTTGACACAACTTTAAATGTTGTCATTACAGATTAACAGCATGCGTGGGTTACTTACAGTTAAAGATACAACCACCAAAGCAAATGTCTTACAAAATATTACAAACTTTATTGCCATATACAGCGACTGAATTAGAAAATGATGCAGACATTAGATTACAAAGACCCATTTTGGACCAAATGTTTTGGGTTTTTTGCTGTTTAATTATGAGACACATCCTGTTTTTAAGTGAGAAGATATTCAATGCACAGCAATATGTAACTATCAAATGCAAAAGTTGTGTCCTGCATAGAAAATACAAATTCTCTAAGATCAGAGAGTAAACTGTATCATACACTTTTAAATTCATACCCCTGGAAGAAACATGTATATATTTTAAACTTAATCCCTGGTGAGACAGAGACCACCAGGTTTCATGCACTGCTCTGTATCTTTTAGACTAGGTATATCTCTTAAGACTCACCAGTGGCTTCGACTAAAAGTGTTATATATTCAACATCCCTCAAACGTATACATTCTTATCAAAGTGCTGAATCCTGGAGGAGCTGCTGTAGTCTGGAGGCGGCCTCTGGTTTACAGACTTTGCCTGCCCTCTCGGGTAGGAGGAGAGATGAGAATGCGAGGCAGCGCCTTTGTAGATATAGTTTGCCTGACTGTGGCTGTGAAAATACAGAACACAGATTCATGTGCACAAATCACCTATGCGACTCCAGAAAATTGATACACACGGCAGGTTATTTACAACATGTATCTTATGTATGATGTAAACATAGTATGTTTTACTTGTACACACCTTTTGGTAAAAGAATCTGCAATGGAGAAACACAGCATGCTGCCTCCGAGGATACAGAGGATAGAACCTGCCCAGCCAATAAAGAGAGCAGCGCCCAGTTCATACCTACAGAGCAAATGCAGCAATGTTTCTTAATTGGTTGAGTGACATTTAAACATTTTAAACATTATGGATCTACAGTCACATGGTGCTTACTTTTGTGCCACAAACATTGGGTCAAAAAACTCTGATGTTATCTGATATGCGTAAAGGGAGCACGCTGACAGTGAGCAGAGGCCTGAGAAGGACAAGAGAAAGGCAATGTAGATCAACAGAAAATGCTATTACACAAATAATTCGACAGATCCACTTTACTTACCACTAAGAATGAAATCAACACCAGCAAAGCAGGCGATCCTGGCTTTGTTTTTGTCAGTTCCTCCTATTTTGGTGCATTTCATTCCAACCAGGGCAAATATGGAACCAAAAAAACCCAGACAGACGGCTGCAATCATCAGTCCTCTGCATGCCTGGATGTAACCTGTAAACATAAAACAGAGATCAGCTTATGTCCAGTCAATATAGTTTTCTGTGCTGTGCTTCTCCTCTGTGGTTTTGCCTTCCCTTTCAAATCTGCACAATGCAAGGTCAATGAGGTATTGACCTTGTGACCAATTTACACATTAAGCAAGAAATACAATTTGTCACGAGTAACCATAATTGTTTTCAAGCACCTTGGCTAGTGTTGTGACTGCCTTGGTATGAAAAGTCTCATTCAGATGTGATTTTGAGGCAAATATTACCTTGGAAGTTAACCGCTGAGACTAGTCAGCCGTGGTAGAAATTGCCTGAGGGTCCCAGTAAATCTCCTTTATAGCTTTCAGGCTCAGAGAACTAAGGCTAAACATTGACGTATTTGGAGGTAAATGAGTTCTTCCTTGGAGACTTGCATTAGACTATCTATTAGTCCTGGTTTGCAATGAACTTCAACTTGAATTTAGAAAGAGAGAGAAGCTGAGTTTGACCTTTTCTGATGCACTAGGGTAGTTAGGATAAATCACCTGAAAGAAAAACTACAACATCAGATATTACCCTATGCTCTTAAACTGAGAAACAAACAAAAACAGAAACTTAATTCAACATGACTGAGCTACACCATTAAAAAGGTCAAGAAGCAAACGCAGTCAAAGGCAGAAAAACCAAGCATCAAATGATCAGAATGAAAAAGAGCTGACCATCCAGTGCCAGCAACGAGGAAAAGTCTTTGCAGTTAGAGATTCCTGTTGAATCAGTGACACAGGCCTTCCACAGATTGGACCAGTAAGTAGCTGTGGTGATGACGGTTCCATCAAGTGACGACACCTTCCAGTAGTCCGTCGGCAAGGTGGAAGACACCAGCACCCACCCTGAGGTGGTTAATATGAAGGCCAAGATCTCCTGAAACATGCTGCTCATACCGCAGAGAAGAGTCCTCCACACGACTGAGGCTGGCAGGAGTTGGTAGGACCAAGAATTGACCAAACGTTCTCTGGCTTGTGAAGCTTCTTGAAAACGTAGCTTGGCTCTGCACTAGTAAGTTCAATGGATAGGCTGTGATTGATAGTTAATGTGTTGTGGACTGTTAAATTCTGTAGGGAGGAGTTTGGTCCTAAACTTCAACAAGTGGCCAGTGGTCTATTATAGTGTCTTCCACCCACTCACCAAGTACACGTCACTATGACTCAACGTGAGATGAAGGGGACCGAAGGTTCCAGATGTAGAAAAGGGTTGTGATGACCTCAGTAAAGACACTGAAAATTAAAGCAACTTCAGGCATGTAAAATGTGTGAGCAGTTGTATGTGTGGTCAGTAGTGGGCATCATGACCAGTACTTGAATAATTTGATTAATAAGTAAAAGTAGTAATACCATAATGGAAAAATACTTCAATAAAAGCAGGATTTTTGCATTCAAAACTTTTTAAAAGTAAAATGAATTGCACTTATGGGTTAAACACACAGTAGTCATTCTAAGGTGTGTTAAATTATTAATGCATTAACCTGTAGAAGTTAATGTTGTAGGGTGGGGTAGATTAAAGCCAGCAGTTCACCATACAGTATGGTATGGGCATATGGGCATAGTATGGGCTAATAGTAAATTGTATTGTGTTATTTTGTCCATCCACACCACAGACTATGGCCTGAAAATGTCCAAGGTGGAAGAGTTACATACATGCATACATTTCTGTTTAAATCCTGGATTTATTTGTGAGTCTGTAACTGACTTGATAAACCAAAGATGTAAAACAGACATTTGAGATAGGATGAAGTATGGTGAAGTGTCACCCTCTGCCTGTCACCTTGTCCTGGCACCTATGATTAATACTCACCCACCTCAAGTAGCAGGATTTAGATGACTTCTTAACTGCATGTTAACAGCACGATGCTTCAGTGACTGAAGGACACACATTGTCCTGTTACATGGCATGGCAATGTGATAATTAATTTAGAGAACGATACCTAAAAAGATTATCTGGATGCCACTGACAAAAAGCAAACAACAGCTTTTATGATGTGGATTAGAGCCCCATCTAGTGGCTGTACATGCTGTAGCTAAAGTTTCTGCCATCTTACTGCTGCCACCATCAGATGGAGCTGAGAATCTCAAAGCACTGTCACACAAAATTAGCATGTTATTAACTGTAAACTGATTTAACTGAAGATTTCATGACTTCCCATTGCAGTTTTACACACTGCATTGAACTGAAATGTTTTCAGCAAATGGAAAAAAGACAAAACAAAAAAGAAACCCAAAGGAAAACAAAGCAAACAACAACAACAAAAAGTTACAGCACTAGCCACCTGATAAACTGAACTGCTCAACATATAGATGGATAAAAAAAAACCCAATATAAACAACAATAGGATTATTATAGACAATAAAAACCAAATTCCTCAGATACTGGGTAAATACTGCAATTACAATACATAAAATATGGGGCATTTCACACAATATTGTAATTTGATTTGGTCTTGATTTTTGAAATAGTTTAACTTTCTCTCTTTCTAACTACATATCTTTGTTTACTTGGCCTCTGCAGAAGCTTCTGTGACTCAGAGACTCTCAGTTTGACATTTCCAACTAAAGATTACACATTTGCTACAGTTAACGTGTGAGCCATAATCTGGAACTGAAATGAATATTACCAAATGTTTTGAGTATTTTGTTTTTTTTTTCTCAGTGAGCATTTACACATTTAGTTATCTGAATGTATCTGGACAAGGTAAAAGATAATGATAATAATGTCATTATGAAAAAAGGTGTAACTTGATCAGATGTGTTTTTATTTTCATGAATAATTAGATACACACCATGTGACCTTTCACAAGATGACTAATAGTGCCAAGACAAAGACAATTCAAGTCCTTCATTGTCAGACAGTATCCTCTAATAGAGATATTTAATCATGAGCCTGAAGAAACCATTTCTTTGCAATTAAATCACTTCACCTAACCTTCAATAAGTCATTCTAAAGATGACTTTACATCAGGGTTCTCCAACATGTGAGTAGCTCACCCAAAGGTTCTGGGAATATGATATGTACAAACCATGGATGCATAG